TAGGGGCTTCCAGGACTACATCTGCTAGAACTCAAACTCAGGACTTCCCATAGGCTAAGCAAATATTCCATTATTTTGGATCTCACAGCAGTTTTAAACAGGGTACAATTTTGCTTTTGGATATCACCATCACTGTCACCGTCACTGTCCTCCCATTGTTCATCAATTTCCTTGAGCGGGCCCAGTAACGTCTCCATTGTGAGACTTGTTACTGTGTTTGTCATATCAGGTTCCGCAGAGCGGGTGAAATACTCTCAGTAGCTTGCAGGGCTCTCCAAGAGGGGAGGAGGAATTGAACCCGGGTCGGTCGGGTCATCCGCGTGCAAAGCAAACGCCCTACCAGCTGAGCTATTGCTCCAGCCCTGCTTTTGCAGATCACATTATACTTTTCAAGTTAAGTTTACACCTGTTATTGTGTTTAAATCTCTTAATGAACCCAGAGTTGAAATGGCCTTATTATTTTTATTTTGCAGATAAGGAAACTGAAATACTGAGAGGCAAAGTGACTTGTTGATGGCAGCCATCCAGTTATTACTTCTAGAATTCAAGCCTTTTACCTGACTTCTCCATAATTTTTTAAAAAAATTAATAAATACTTTTTAGTTACTGAATTTGAGCCATCAGAAGACCATTGCTCTGGTTTTACTTTCCATTGCTTTACGTATCCTTTTCTCAACAATTTAAGTTATTATAGCTTCTACTCTAAATTTCTATTCATTAGAATTTATTCTCTTTATTAATTAAGCAGAATTAGAACAATATAATCCTTAGTTCTATCTAATTTTACAAAAAAAAGGTGTGCTTAGAAGATCTTGGAGGTGTTCCTTTCAGGTAATATGGTAGATCATACTTCTGCAGAAGGAGAAAATAACTAGAGTTCAAGCTGAATATTTGCGGTGTCAGGTAGGCAAGGGGTATATTTGCATCTTTCAGCAAATTTTTCTGGGTAAAGAGTGAACCAAATCTGGGGCCAAGTATGGTGCTTGACTTACAAGTGGCTGACCCTCAACCTGGTTCAATCTCTGGTACCCCATGTGGACCCCCAAGACTGCCAGGAGTGAGGGCAGAGCAGGAGTATATACTGAGCATTGCTGGTATAGCCCCCTAAAGTGAATAAAATCCAAAATAAATTTCACTTATCTATTTCCACAACAGGATTGCATTTTAGCTGATTCTGCATGGAAATTATCTTCATAACTCTCTTTCTCATCCATAATCTCTTTTGGAAATATAGAAACTAAAAACCTGATCTGATTAATTCTCTGTAACACAAGTGATCAGATAGAAGCAAATATAAATTTATTCTAGAGGAACTTTAAAATCAGGTTTTAAACATTTTCCAGAGATTAAATTCTGGAAATAAGCTCAATAAATGAGTTATAAGTGAGAATTAAGAGAAAAACAAGCTAGATTTAGCTCTTCAAAACCTATGATTTGCAATATCATATAGAGAATATAAAACAGTCCTCTAGATATTTTAAACTAGTAAAAGAGAATGAGTAAGTGCTTATGTAATAGCATATTATTTTGTTTTATTTTTTGGTCACACCCAACAATGCTCAAGAGATTTCTCCTGGCCTTGTAATTAAAGAATCATCTGAAAATGTTCATACAAGACCATATGAGATGCTGGGGAATTAAACCGGTTTGCTAAGTGCAAGGTAAACCTTCTACTAGTTGTATTATCACTCCAGCCCCTAGCATATTATTTTAAATAACCAGGAAGAACGAGAGAATTCTTAAACTAAAAGTCAAATATTGAAACCTGCAAACCAGGTGGAATTCAAACCCTAAAAGCCAATAAATTGGTGGCTTTAACTCTGACTCAAAATGAAGCCTGGAAACCCCACAGAAGGGAGAGGACCAAGAGGATCGAATGGAATACATCAAATCTAGACTGCCTCAGAAAGTTGAAGATTTAATCATGAATTTAGTTGTGTGTGTGTGAGTGTGTGAGTGTGTGTGTGTGTGTGTGTGTGTGTATGTAAAGGCTTGGGAACAGGGTTTGTGGCAGCTCAGGGGAAAAAGGTTATTGTGTGCTGCAGTGGGAGGATAGATGGGGGTAGAATTTTTAAGCTCTGAGCAGGCTTGGTCACTGATTAGCTGCACTGTCAACAGTTTTCATTACTGACTTAAGTAGGTTGAGGGCACATTAGAGAGTACTATGCAGAAGCAAGGAGCAATAGCTATCTGTAAAGTAAGGTCAATATATCTCTGAAACATATAACTTAGAAAGGAAATTATAAAAGATATTATTTATAGACAATCCAACTGTGCAAGTTAAATATATTTAGCCAAAATCATAACATTTTATGCAAAATGTAAGCAAATAGTGCCCAGAGAGATAACTCAGTGGGCTGAGTGCAAGCTTTGCATTCAGGAAATCTGGGTTCAGTCCCTGGGACTACATGGCCCTTAAGTACTGCCGGAAGCAACCTGTGAGCACCTCCAGGTGTGGCCTCAAAACCAAAGGGCAGGTAGTACACAAATAAAGGTACACACGGCACATTAAAATACCTATTTTGAAGGATGTGGTGTGGGTGGTATTAGAGATAAAACAGTATGTAAATAAATCCAGAGAGTCTTTGCTAGGATAAATTATGTATTTTTTAATTAAAAATAAATCCCAAATCCAAAAGGTGAGCTATTAAGAACAAATATTGCCATCTAGTTTCTGTTTATAAAATTAAAAACATTTAGGAAAGAGCTGTGTGGAATACCTATCTAACTATTAACTAGAGGCTATAAGGACCATAATCAGTCAATCCTATTGAACCTGATATTAAGATTTAAAGAATAAAGAAACAAACTAATGGGTAAATAAAAGAATAGAAACACTGTAATGACAGTGGTAAGGGAATGGTGTTGGAACATTACATAACTGAAATTCAATCATGAACAATTTAACTTTGTAACTGTGTCTACCACTGTGATTCAATACAAAAAAAAACTATAATGAGAATAAACTGGAAGAAGGTTCTAAAGAAATTACATAGCACGCAAATTAGAAGTCATGGAAAGAAAAAAATCAAATAAGATGGCACATATATAGAGAGAGTCTAACTTTGTGTCTACATCTGAGGACACAACATTCATAATGGCTGAGAATATCCCATAAGTAGTGAAAGATAAGATTTCTTAGACTAAAGAAATGACAAGTGTGCATGACAAATAGAAGCTTAAGAACATCAAAGATAAGGACCATGTTAAAGCAGTCAGAGATAGAAAGCATACTGCTTACTAAATGATTACACCCCCTGAAGGGTAACTTAGAGACAATGGAAGGCTTCAGGCCAAGTAAGATCTTCAGAGTGTCTTGAGGAAGTAACTGTAAATCTAGTATCTGTGCCTAGCAAAATTCTGTTAAGAATGCTTGTAAAGGGCCAGAGCAATAGTGTAGCAGGTAAGGCACTTGCCTTGCAAACCACCAACCCAGGTTCATTCGCCCAAATCCAGTATGGCCTCTCAGCCTCACCTGAAGTGGTTCTTATGTGCAGAGTAAGGAGTAACGCCTGAGCATCTCCGGATGTGGGCCCCAAATAAACAAATGGCCCCCAAATACACACCCAAAATAGTAGTAAAAGTGAACACATCTTCACTAAACAAAACAGGGTGTTTTTTTTTTCTTGTTTTTTTTTTTTTGTTTGTTTGTTTTTGGACTACACAAGGCTGTGGTCAGAGCTTTACTTCTGCCTCTGTGTTCAGGTATTACAACTGCCTGTCACTTGGGCAAGTAAGAAAGAATCTTACCAGCTGTATCTCTGGCCCCCAAAGAAAACACAATGTATATCAATGGTCTTAACTAAAGGATAATGTACATCAGTGATGAGAAAACAAATTCTAGAAAATCATTTTCTTATTACTTTGTTTCATGATGTTATTTTAAAACAATCACTTTATAAGAACAGTAGCACACTTCTGAAATATTAGAGGTTCCAATCAGTAAGGCATAAATGATCTGGATCTTATTACTTGCTTTGTCTTTACATATGGAATCATCATTCATGTCAGAAGTCAGGCAATCATTTGGTAATAGCAAGCATCATACTGGCACAAAACTTGTTTGTGGCATATTAAATAGCTGTTATATAATGCTGTAACTCAAAATATTACAAATAAGGGGTCTGAGCAATACTAGAAGGGGTGGGGCACTTGCCTTGCACGTGGCTGGGTCAGATTCAATCCCTGGTACTCATATGACACCCTCCCCGCCCAAGCACTGCCAGGAGACTTCCTTGTTACTGTGTTTAGCATATTGAATACATCACCGGTAGCTTGCCAGGCTTTGCCATGCGGGCGAGATACTCTCGATAGCTTGCTAGGTTCTCCGAGAGGGGCAGAGGAATCAAACTCGGGTCGGCCATGTTGGCTGCGTGCAAGGCAAACGCCCTACCATTGTGCTATCGCTCCAGCCCACTGCAAAACTAATTTAATACAATGTAGCCTTGCAATGTAGGTATTATTGATATACTTGAAGGGTACATTTTCTTTTAGCCTATCTCAGAAAAACTTAAATGCTTTCTGAGAATCTAAAACATGTTAGATTGAGCCCATTTCCAGTACAAATTTACAGTTGTACACAGGCTGTATATTTACACAAATTAGGGAAGAATTTGAGTGATGATAAAAGAAATTCCACAGCACTAAATCTATTGCTATAAGATACATTTACTATGACAAGTGAAATTCACAATAGGAAGAAACCAGAAAAGCTACTTTAAGCTTATTATTATCTTGATTTTGATGTCTATTTAATGTTACTTGTTTTATATTATTGAATTCTGTAACCAAGTATAAACTAGAGTGATACTATATCAAATAAAAATGACACTTTTCCCTGATTATTATTTTTTATTGACTTACCATTAGTTTACAATATGGTAGAATTTCAAGTGGTTAGTTTTATTTATATCTCTATATATTATTACCACTCCCCTGACACTAGTAAAGTTTCAGTGACATACCACCAAGAACAAGACCCATATGCTTAATCCTTCACCTCCCCTCTTTCTCTTCAGTAACCATTACAGTTATCTCTGAATCTAAAAGAAATGGACACTTTCAAAACCAACAACAACAAAAAACAAACAATTAACAGAAATTAAAAACAAAATGGATAAGCAGAGAATAGATATATACATATATATATTTCCCTTTTTTATATATATTTCCCTTTAACTTGTTTAAGATTTTAGTTTATACCTAAATAGAACATCAAAACTCGGATGCTCAATACCAAGAAAAAAGCGTTTATGGCTCAGTGCTAGAGGTTCAGTGCTAATTATTTCTAAGTCGAGATAAGTTAAAAATACAATCAACATCAGCTTTAACTCATTGATTGCCACATATCTGCCTGGACATTTGCTGATTCCAAATCCAAATGGTAACAGGTAATATCGCAATTTTTTCCCTCTTTTGAAAAAGGTGGTTTTCTTCTTACCATCTTCTACGAAACGATCAAATCTAAACTCCTGTAAAGAAAACAAAGCATTAAAATTTATATAACAGTGTTTGATTTATGGTTCACAATGCTGCCAGCTCTCCCTGACTGTCTTAACAGACTTTAATCTTGATCCAGCAATTAATAAAAATTAAAACTTGACCAAGTGCAAATCATGTAAGACATTTCAAAAAATCCAAATGCTTCTAAGAAATTACTTTTTCCATCCACTGTCCAATGTCCTCCCATTGTTCATCGATTTTCTTGAGTGGGCACCATGTCAAAGTGAAATCCAAACACCTATAAAACTTTACTTTTCAATTCACTTTCTCTCCTGTGCTGACTTTCATCAGTATAGAAACATTGCCTCTGATTCTTTTTATCTGAAATGAATCCTGACATTGACTTTTGATAGGTCAGCATTGGGTAGACATTACCTGCTCCTGTACTGCTGCTATCTTTAACACCAATGAATCTTACTGGCCATGGAAGTTGCCTAACTTGGGTCCCTTAGATGCTAATCTCTATTTCTTCCCAGTTAGCTACTGATAGATCACTGTCACTGGTCACTGTCCTCCCATTGTAAAATCGATTTGCTCGAGTGGGCCCAGTAATGTCCCTATTGGAGACTTTGTTGTTACTGTGTTTGGCATATGGAATACGTCACAGGTAGCTTGCCAGACTCTGCCAGGCGGGCGAGATACTCTCGGTAGCTTGCCAGGCTCTCCGAGAGGGGCAGTGGAATCGAATTCGGGTCGGCCATGTTGGCTGCATGCAAGGCAAACGCCCTACCGCTGTGCTATCGCTAAGGATTCAGTGCTAATATTTGGTTTAAAGAAATAAGGTAACAAGATTCACACAAAGCAGTAAAGAGGAACTAGCTGTTTTACTGAGGAATATAGATGTACTGAATTTCTCCTATGACAGTTCAATTAGAACAAACTCTCTTTGGGTTAACTGTAGGGTAGCAGGTGTTTCTATAGGTTTGCATAAATAAGCTGTATTATTTGTTGCAGAAAATTATAGATAGGTTTATCTACGGTGTTTGGCCTGCCATCTTAATTTACTCTCACTTGAGTTTTCAAGAGGAGACTGAATGACCTTATTTCAGCCCACGGTGAATTAAACCATTGATTAAATTAATGCATGTGACCTACATGAAAATGGCCAAGTATATCCTGTGCTTGGTTCTCATTAACATTAAACCTGCTCATCACACAACTCTGATAGGAACTGTGTCATATCAAAGAAGCACATCAGACTAAAAAAACACTTCAAGTGATTGTGAAAACTACAATTTATGTGTGGATTTGGATTGCTCACAAGTGATCTAATTTTTTTATTCAATGCCAGTATTATAAACAGCAAAGTTAATTTCTTTAAAGATATTGGCCATAACCACCATTTCTGTAGGATATTTTGATATTCAATTTTAGAAAGCACATTCTGGGTTGTTTTTATTACACTAACTTAAAAGTTGAGACCCTAAGACTCTAATGTATTTTTCCACATTGTGGGGATTTATCTGAATAGGATCTAACCAGAGCTAAATTAAAAATATCTGTTAATCCCTCTATGAGTAATTATGGAGAATCTTTGTAAACCTACACTTTGTTACTGGAGACAGACAGAATTACTATATGGCATGCTCTCCCTGTGACTGTTTTCTATTACTGGGACCCTAGGCTGCTTGCCTAACTAAAGTTTTGCTATTTACTTCTTCTCTGACCAAGACAAGGAGACTAACTGCCCTAGGGCTCCTGGTTTAGACCATCTCAGTGTAAATCAACTTTGCCATGAAATTATTTTGCTAGTGAAGATTCCACTAAAACCCCACTATTTAAGTCAGGAAATACAAAGGAAAATTTAGCTCGGAATATGACTTCATAGTGTCCCAGTAGCAATAAGTAAGCCTGAAACTTCCATGGTTTTCCTATTCTTTGTGATAGTAAATGTGCTACCTTCTGAGAGGTCATAGTGACCAACAACCAATAAATGACTGCTTCCATTCCTTGTAACTTTTGGATAGTGCTTACTTTCACTTTTCTCACATTTCTAGCCGACCAATAATGTCATTTTTAAATTGCTCCATAGTTTGTTGTTTATATTCTGAACAAAAAGGGATGAGGGGGGCTGGAGCAATAGCACAGTGGGTAGAGCATTTGCCATGCACGTGGCCAACTCTGGTTCAATTCCCAGCATCCCATCTAGCCCTCCCTGAGTACTGCAAGGAGTAATTCCTGAGTGCACAGCCCTGGAGTAACCCCTGTGCATTGCTGGGTGTGACCCAAAAAGAAAAAAAAAAGAAAGGATGACTACCAGTAAGCTCAATGAAGAACACATGGGCATAACTACATTTCTGTGTTAAAATTTATTTGGGGGGATGGGTACGGTGCTGCCCAGCAGGTCAACCTGTACCTGTGGGGTGAGTGCATCAGCAGCCTGATGATGCTTTCAGGCTTCCTCCTACCCCAAAATTGCCATTGTGCCTCTGACTGGACCCCAACAATATGGGACCAAGTATCCTGAGAAATTAAACGGCCAAAAGTTAGTCATGCCCACAAACTACCTCTGGCTCAGCTATGCAAGCTCATTTATTGGCCTTGCTTCAGAGACTCATAAATAAGTCTCTCGAAAGAGGTAAAAATCAAGCTATTTACACGCATTAATGGCCATGATTCAGACTCACAAATGAATCTCAGAAGAGAACAGCATGCTGCAGAGACGTCTCCCCACCCTGCACCAAGATGATTTCACCAGGGCACTTTGAAGGGGGGCAGGTGTCTCCCTCTACCTGCCCTAAATAAACCCCAGCAACTGCTCATCTTGAGACCATTTGGCATGCTGGGCTAGGACTTAGGTTGGCAGAGTGCAAGGCAAATGCCCTACCTTCTGGACTATCACCCTGGATGTAAAGCTTTGCTCATGCTACAGAATTTAAAAAACCTGTGTGATTATTTGGAAGAACTTTCTTCTTGTGATGAATGGAAAACAGAAAGAACTATACCATTCCTCTTCTGAACCCAGTCATACATGATTATGATGTAGTTAGCAAACCCTTAGCTACCAGGATGAAGACAGACCTAATATATATGAGATGCATAAGCTAAGAAACCCCAGAGAGTTGCGGTTTTCATATTGTCCTTTTTCACTTTTTTAAAATTTTATTTTGGACCACACCCTATAGTGCTTGGATGCTATTTCTGTTTTTTTTTTTTTACTCAGAAGTAACCATATGTGGTACCAGTGATGAAAAAGGGGTTGGCTATTTGCAAGATAAGTGCCTTATCTCCTGTACTATCTCTCCATCCCAAAACCAAGCTCTTAAATTACATAAACTTTCAATGACAGGAAACTTATGTTTTATCTTTGTCACCCATTATGCCCATAAAAGTTTCTTTTGCAATATGCCAGAGACATGCTTCTAGACACTGTGCCAGGCTGTTTTATTTGGGGCAACCCAGAGGGGGGCGAGTGAGAGACCTTCCCGCCCCAACGAAGCCAGCTCAGACAGCCAAAAACCTCTAGAACTCAACTGCTGCCATGCTTATGGTTACTATCTCCACATGCTCAGACAAGCCTCACCCATGAGTGAATTGATTCCTGGGCATCTCATACTTTACACCACTGATATATCAAGAGTAGTGCACCACATTTGATTTTTCAAAACAGTTTCAAAAAACAGACAAAAACTATTTAAACTATTTCTTCATTTGCAAATTCCATGTGGTATTAGTAATGCACATTCTAGGAACAGTGAGAAAAATCAAAATAATATGGGTACAATTATTTTTATCAAGATCTTGAATTTTCAAGGGTTTTTCAGATATTTTTATCACCTTACAATCACTATGTCTTTGAGATGTAGATAGGACAGACTTGCATGAGATTGAGTAGACCCTTTCAACAGCTGAGCTTTTGGTAATACTCCAGTGATTTTATAAGTGATTTTTTTCATTTTTTTTTACTTTGCGAAACTTCATGGATATGAAAACATGTTACCATCTTAAATGTTTGCTGCTTATTTTCAATAGCCCAACTGTGTCCTCACAATTCCCTTTAGACTTTAATACCTGCATCTTATTATTTGAAATCTTATTTGACATCTTATTATCTCACTCTTACGTTGGACAACATGGCAGGCTACCGAATGTAACCTGCCCACACGGCAGAGTCTGGCAAACTCCCCGTGGTGTACCCAATATGCCAAATACCAGTAACAATGATGGGTCTCATTCTCCTAACCCTGAAAGAGCCTTGAATATGGCACTTTTTTTTTTCTTTTATGGGTCACACCCAGCGACGCTCAGGGGTTACTCCTGGCTCATGCACTCAGGAATTGCTCCTGGCAGCGCTCGGAGGACCATATGGGATGCTGGGAATCGAACCTGTGTTGGCCATGTTGGCTGCGTGCAAGGCAAAGCCCTACCCGCTGTGCTATCACTCCAGCCCCAGAATATGGCACTTTTAAAAATCTCTGGGCTAGGACGAAGGAGATATTACTGGTGCCTGCTCGAGGCAATTGACGAACAACAGGATGATTGTGATTGTGACCTGCAGACTTAGAAAACACAAACAGTAGATTTAGTCTTCTTTATTGTCCCAGTTTTGATAACACATTGGCAAAGAAAAGCCATCACCACTTGCTGATTATTTAAGAGCCAGTTTTAATTGTGGATACACATAAATTTGAGAGATTAGTCTATCAACATATTATATGGACTTTGTTAGATAGCTTTTAGAGCTAGAAAGTGGAAGGAAAAATGGGAAAAAGGCATTTCCTTTGTTCGTTTTCACTTGTTACTTTTTTTCCTTTTGTAAGTCAGAGCTGTCTGAGTGTCCGACATTACAATCAGTTTAGCAACCAATAATCAGAAAAAGAATAATTTTTAAGAGTAGACAGTAGAAACAAAGGCCAGGAGAACTGGCTCATGGTAGGAAGCAAGCATGCCACCAAGGAGGAGGGGGAATGCAGTTAGGACAGAGAAGGGACCACAATGACAATGATAGTTGGAAATGATCACTCTGGACACAAACGGAGCACTGAAAGGAGGTAAAGGGATATATATGATACCCTTTCAGTAATAGTATTGCAAACCACAGTGCCTAAAGTGAAATTAGAGAAAGGACAGACGAGAGAGGAGAGAGAGAAAAAGAGAGAAAGAGAGAGAGAGAGAGAAAGAGAGAGAGAGGAGCGGGAGGAGAAGTGTCTGCCATAGAGGCAGGCTTTAGGGACTGGTCAGGGGAAGGTGAGCAGAACGAAAACTGGAGACACTGGTGGTTGGAAATATTCACTGGTGAAGGGATGTATGTTGGAACATTGTGTGACTGAGACAGAATTATGAGCGACTTTGTAACTGTATATCTCAAGATAAAAAAGGAGCCCAACAGTCTCATTTTCATGCCTCTTGGCATTCCTTTCACCGTGGATCATATTACTCCTGATAGCATTGTTACATTCATATAAAAAAATCACGATCACAATCATCCTGTTGTTCGTCGATTGCCTCGAGCAGGCCCCAGTAACGTCTCCTTCATCCTAGCCCCGAGATTTTTAAAAAGTGCCATATTCAAGGCTCTTTCAGGGTTAGGAGAATGAGACCCATCATTGTTACTGGTATTTGGCATATTGGGTACGCCACGGGGAGTTTGCCAGACTCTGCCGTGTGGGCAGGTTACACTCCATCTATTTCAGCTAGTTAGGTTCAGTATAATATTTGTCCTGAATTAACATTTTAAATGAATCATATTTTCACTTTAAGTATCCATCCATCCCAGTATCCTCGTATTTATTTACTCTCTACGAATACCCTGTTGTTCACCAGACAAGGAGAATGCTGAGAAGGCGATGACAGGGTTTTCCCCTTATGGGTCTTATAGCATATGGCTGTCCAGACAGGTAAGCCAATAATTGCAAATTTCCTGTGGTATGCACCAGGACAAAGGTACACACAAGCCACAAAGTGGACAATAGCAAATACTCTGAGGAATGAGGTGAGAATCACAGATACTGTCAAGAAAGAGAAGTAATCAAGGATGCTTCTTGTAAAGTATCTGAAGCCTATTATTTGATTAAATGAGGAACATTCCAGGTAAAGAGATATACGAAGGAAGAACATGGCCTGATTTTGGAATCTATATTCTAGAGTCTGTTAGGTTTGAATATCCTGAAATCATGTTCAACTCAGCTGGGAGTTCTTATTACAGTAAGGTGCCTTAGTCTTTATGCCTCCAAATATAACTTCTTATATTTGTAGAAGAGTTTGTGCTTTTGACTGGTAATCTTATATTTCAGTTAGCCTTCCTGTGTTTTTGGCTGGTAATAATTAATTTCTTATTACTCTCCTAAGTTGCTGAGAACAAAATAAATGTAAATGGTTCTGAATTATAACATTTCTGTGTCAATAATGTTGAGATTTTGCAACTAATTTAAAGAAAATAATGATATAACAAAAAAATAGCTAATAAATTAGTAAAAATTAGCTAGTATATTTTAGCCATAGCTATAATGGGCTATTCTTTTTTTTTTTTTTTTTTTTTTTTTTTGCTTTTTGGGTAATACCTGGCAATGCACAGGGATTACCTCCTGGCTTTGCACTCAGGAATTACTTCTGGCAGTGCTCAGGGGACCATATGAAATGGTAGGAATCAAACTTGGTCAGCCTAGGCAAATACCCTACCCGCTGTACTATTGCTCCAGCCCTTATAATGGGCTGATTTATTTAGTAAAAATTAGAGTTAGCCAGGCTAATTGTGCTTAATCAATACTAATATTATAATTTTGTTTTTTCATAAATATTGTACGAGGCAAATACTTCTGATTACTATTAAGAAATGCTTTTAAGTAATACTTCTGACTACTATAAAGTATTAAGTAGCCAATCTATTATATAAAGTTTGGGAATTTCTACTTATTCTAATCAGCATATCTTCCTTCAATATTCAACTTAAAAAATCTTAAATTCCAATATATTTATATCATGAATATAAGATCAAGGGGTAGAGAATAGAAGGTGCCCGAAGAATATTATGATATGAACAGTGGTGATCTGGTAAACATTTAGTATTTGTTGTAACTTCAATGTTTTTTTTTCTGCCTACACCTGGTGGTGCTCAGGTCTTACCCCTGGCGCTGAGTTTCGTGATAAGTTCTGGCAGGCTTGGGGACCATAAGGGATGTTGGGAACTGAATTCAGGTTGGCTACATGTAAAGCAAATGCCCTACCTGCTGTATTATGGATCCAGCGCCCTTCGTGTTTATTTTACTATTGATATTAATAGTAATGAAATCACTGCACAATGAAACAGAAGTTAAACAAAGCAGAAGTTAAACAAATTAAAATTGTGGCTAGAAATAAAATTACACTAAAACATTTAAAAATAGTAGCTTGTCCTATTTATTAAACTTCTACTTATAAGTGAATTTTTTATATTTGTAGATGTGATAGTTACAGATAAAACTGATGCCTATAAAATGCTCATTCACTCACTAACATCTTATTTCCAATTTGCTAACAACATAGAGAGTTGTTTCTTCTGAAATACATAGAAATCATATGTATATTCTCTTTGCAATTGAAAAAAATTTAGCCTTTGTTGATGAAATATATGCAAATTATATTTCTGTTTTTGAAGTCTGCCCTTTTCCTATTTCAAATTCAACAATATTTTAATCCAGTTTGACTGCAAAATATTTAACTTAGAAACTGTATTTAAACTGGTTTACCTATGAACTGTTCAAAGAGAGCACAGAAGTCTCCCTTTGAAAAGTACCATTTGATATATATGTATATATTTATATTTATATATATGTAAATCTCCCCAAACCCAACAGACACTACAGCAATACTACTTTTTCATGAGAAGCCCAGGCAGAATATAACTACATTCAATTTGCATGCAGGTGGTGAACCTCTAAAGTAGTATTAAGGGATAAACCAGGGTGGATTAATTTCCAGCCTTTGATATTCATTAACTCCAGCCTCAGAAAAAAATACAAGAGGATGACACAATTACCCTCAGAGCTTCACCAGTGAGCAGCAGCTTTACAATTTCAAGTTCATAATGCCATCCTAGTGGGTCATGGTGTCTCACTAATAAAAATTAAAAAAAAAAGAGGGGGCATGTGTTTTAGTAAGAAGTGAAATGTATATGGACCTAACTGTGGCAGTCATGGCATTTGACTCTGAACAGTCAACCCCATTCTAGATGTACTTTGTGAAATAGCTATTGTTATTCATTACTAAGACTACTAATTGTTCACCAAACAAATCTTAACTTAGACCTAAAGGGTCTAAAACAAAATGCATGTTTCATCCAAAGAATCTAGTCTCATCATTATATTTTTATTTTTAGATCAAACGCAACACTTTTTAAAAGAGCCAGCCTTAGGAAACACTACAGTAAACAGGAAAATCTTCCCATTAGGGAGAAAAATCACTCATGAAGCTGCCTCAAATTCTTTCAGGAATTAGGTGGTGAGAGGATGAGATGGACACCATGAGGAAAATGGGGTCAGAGAGCTAGTACAGGAGACAAGGCACATGCCTTGCAAGAGAATGAGCCCTGGTTCAGTGACATTGTAAATGATCCTTTGAGCACCACCAGGGGTCACTCCTGAGCACAGAGTCAGGAATTGCCTCTTCAGGGTATAGTCCACGCCACTCTTTACCACGAGGCGTTCCCACTCCCACCAAGAAAAGAAGTCATGAATGAGAAAGAGAGAGATGAGAGATGCTGACCAAATCTAAGAAATATACGAGACTGTCTTGATGTTTTCTTACCTCTGGAGCTTCAAAGATTTCGGGATCATAGTGCATGAACTGAGGAAAGATAGCTACCAAGTCTCCCTTTCGCAAACTGTACTTTCCGGTCTCAAAATTTAGAGTCATATCTTCTTGAACAGAACGAATGATGCTTGAAAATGAGCATAGTCGTAAAGTCTCTAGAATGGTGCTTTCTGTGGGAAGCAAAAAAGGCAAGTTATTCAAACAAAACAACAAAAATACCTGCTCCAGAGATGTGCTCTCTTTCTGCTATAAAGTGCATTGCTGATTGCTTTGGTTGAAAAGGAAGCCCTTTCCTCATGAGATCTATTGAACATCAACCTCCAGACAGTCAGAGTGAGAAGGGGAAGGAACAAGACAGCGATGACCTGGCCCAGAACAGCTCAGGGGTATTTCACAGACAGGAGGCAAATAGTACTGTATTGGGGCAGTGTCATTAATTTTGATTTAGGTCGAAAAGAATGACTGCAGGAGAGGAATGCTGGTGTTATGAGTATGCACATTGTAAATAGTGCACATAGTCTAGTCTGGTGAGTTATTTCACCAACCTTCAGAACAGTAATGCCTTGGAAGCCGGGCTTAAGCATTTAATAACCACTTAGGCAGCTAATAGTAAAGTAATTGCAATAGTGCTTTCTGAGACAGCTTAACACTTACATCTTTTATGTGAGCTGTAAATAAAATGTGAGTCAGCATTTGCTGGAAAATTTCAAAAGGAAAATACTTCTATTGAATTGAAAATAAAGCTGCATTTTCTTTAGCATCCAGAGAAAATAACAGCCACCATCATAACCTGGAAGATTCCAGAAACTGAATGTCCTTGCTTTCCCAGTGGCCTTCACCTTTTGCTCCTAGCACGACAGATTTTATGGCTAATTTCCGGCAATTTATCCTGGCAGTTTGAGGAAGAATTCCTTTGGGAATAATATGCATAATTTGCATAAATCATTCTGATAGCATGCATATCAGCATGTAGCTCCTGTCTAGGTTTGCATCTCTGCCTTCATAATCAAAACTGACTATGTTTTCACCAGCGTGAATGGGCCCTAGAATATAAAGCTTGATTCTTTCTAATCAGCAATGTGAATAAAGCTCCAAATTGAGCTTCTTCCCCCTTAACATGGTAACAAAAGATTGTATTTATGGCTTCCAATTTAACTCCGCCGCCCCCTGCCCCCTGCACAAACACAAACACAGTCTGGTTTCTTAGTGTTCAGCAAAACTCTGAAACATAGAGTACCCAATTATTACATTACAGATACAGACCAGTCAGGGAGGGCTTGCATCAGCCAGAAAAGAAAAATAAATGCTACTTCACAAAAACTCAAAATATACCGTTTGCATAGGACTATCTAATAGCTTTGGGTGCCTTCTCCCAGGAGTTCTTTTTTTTCCCTAAGCATGCATTTGTCTAAAGAAATGAGGCTGTGGTCAGCTGTGTGTGGCCAGTGTGGTGATTCAATGTGACGTACTGTGAGGCTGTGCATATTCTTTTGGACTGCCTTCGTTATTATAATCAAGCAGAGTCAAATCGGTTTGTTGTTTGATGAGGCCCGAAGAGAACCTTGGTTTTGGAATATGGACTCTACTGCATAGCCACAAGGCACCTGACATGACGAATTTCAGCCGGCAGGACACCAGTGACCAATATTTCCATGGCGAAGAGCAAGGGTCAGCTTCCTGTGCATGGCTGCTGGCTCTGTGGGGTCCACAGTAGCACAGCGTCATTTTAGCTTGCGGTGTGAAATGGTAGCTGACATATGTAGCAGTGCTGTTCGCCCAACAAGTCCGGTAGGGGTGTGGGAGGAAGAAATACAAAGGCAAAATCATTGTGGGGTGTCTGCTGTGACAGGGCAGGCATTTAACAATCCAAATAACACGGTCACATCCCATTGGCCATGTGCTTGCGGGAAGCATGGCAGCGTGCACCCACTGCAGGATCACAAATGACAATTGGGCAAGCATATCTTATGCAGAAGTTAATCACAATAATGGAGCACAAAGTGTGGCTTAGCGGTCAGATCGTAAATGACAAATCTGTTTTACCTTCCAGTACCAGTTATGTGTGCAAGATGAAGTTGGCTCTCTTGCGCTGAGCCATCATGCCGATAATCATTAGCCGACAAAAGTAATGAGTTGCATTATTATCAACAATGGAGGGGGGTGGGGGTTTTCCGTGACTCTGTGTTATAACACACAGGCACAAAAGCCAGCCGCTTTTTCTACCAGCCCCAGTAAGAATGCAGGCAGAGCTATATGTTGAGAAGAATGACAACTGCACAATAAAAAAAAAAATTGCAGCCTCTACTTGTAGTTGTCATAGTTGAGCAGACACCAGCCAGTGCCACTGACAGACCAGCTGGGCCCTGGGAGGACTTCCACGCTGCACCAGGAGGTACAGTAAATTATCCTGCACGGTAGAGCAACATCTGTTTCTGTGCTAGTGCCGAACAAACAAGGCAATTTAAAACATACCAAGGGATAACCAAGCAACAAATGAACATGACCCTCATTCCACCCCCCCTCGCCCCCTTCTCACACACGAGGTGCTAAACTTCATTGTGCAAGCACTCCATGAAAGAGAGGCCAGGTTGGTTTTTGATAAGGTGTTGTCAGAGAGATTTTACATATTTCCAAAATGGAAAGAAAAAGCTTATAGTATTGTTATTCTTAGAATCTTCCTTCCCCCTTCTATCTTCATTTCTTTTATACCAAAGCTAGCACTCAGTTCTCAATTTGCTCTAGAATTAAAAAAAAAAACTTTCCATATACTTATAAATATTCAGTCTTTAAACCTAATTTGCTATACTTAGTTCACATGCCTTCAAGCATTTGTCTTCCAATTTCCACTGAATAAATGCGTACTAATGAGAACTAGAGCAAGCTGCTGAGGCAAAGCTGGGTGACTTGGGTCTGGCCTGCCACCAGCTTGTGATAGGCGGGCAAATTGAGTTAAAATGAAAAGTCTTGTCAGCTAAAATTCAACATGGTAGCCAAACAGCAAGCTGTCAATCATCCAGCCAAAACAAGGGACTGCAGGTAATAAAAGGTCATTGTGATCATTAGTGCATTTGGCTTTCATATGCAAGTTAATTTTAATTAAACATGATCTCTATCTGTAAATGTTTTATAAAACTTATTGTGCATAATGGATTGCTAATTTATACTAACATTTAGCAGGTAATAGGGTCCTCTATTTATTACATGCATTGTAGAAAAAGGATTATCAAGAATGCAAATATTTGGAGAATAATTTATACCAGGTACTACAAGGTGCCAAGGATTGCAATTGTGATTAAGAAAAGGCAGCCTATGTTTTATTAAGAACTGAGTTTTACTAACCAGGACACTCTAGGAAACTGGATTACTAAATTCCTTCATTGAATTTAAAATAAAATGCGTGAAATATTTTCTTCACCTGACTAGGAATGATTTGCTTCCCTTTTTTGTATTTTGAATTAAACTATTTTGATTAAATATACCTTCTAGGCAAAAATCTGTGGACTGTGTTGAGTGAAGACGGTTTACGATATAATTGTGAAGGAAATGGTAAATGAAAGGAAATTCCACTAAACAGGGCTTTCTATTTTTCTTTTGCCCTGAGATCTCATTTCTGGCCATAATAATTGACAAATGATTTTCATTTGCAGATTTAAAGTGCTAAAGAGGCTTATGACAATCAATATTGCATGTTACAATGCAAACACAACTAAGCACATCCACATTTCTGTCTCATTCATACATGTCTGTATATGTGGAATGAATGCACTGTGACATGGCCAGGCTGTTAATTTGGGTCATCTTAATGATTGGTGCAGACTGTCATACCATCTGATTAGCTATGGTGATCAGTGGATAGCAGTGATGGTTGGAGTGAAATGAATAGTCAGGCTCTATTGCAGTCTGCTGGGACTAAACAGTTGGGCTATTTTAAAAGAGCAGCCTTGAAGGGGAAACTGGAAGCAATGTGCAAGAAAGTGTGGAAATAGAGTGAGGTCTAGTTATATGTGTGTGTTTTTACATAATTACCTCAAAGACAAGTGAGAAAGAGGTAAATTGTAATAACCAGATAATTTGAAGCAACATAACTAATTTTGACTCAACAACTATAGTTTTTAAGAGAAGGGAAAATAATTGAGATTAATGCCTACTTTTACTCTGCTTTAAAGTCTTGACCCTTGGCTTGCTACTGAAAATAGCACTGTAGCACCGTCAATCCCATTAATCATTGATTTGCTTGATCAGGAGCCAGTAGCGTCTCCATTTGTCCCAGTCCTGAGATTTTAGCATTGTAAATTTTACGCCCTCTCAGCGGTAGGGCGTTTGCCTTGCACGCAGCCAACATGGCCGACCCGAGTTCGATTCCTCCGACCCTCTCGGAGAGCCCGGCAAGCTACCGAGAGTATCTCACCCGCACAGCAGAGCCTGGCAAGCTCCCCATGACGTATTCGATATGCCAAACACAGTAACAACAAAGTCTCCAATGGAAACGTTACTGGGCCCTCTCGAGCCTCTCCTCCCTCTGAAAATAAGGAAATGGAAATTAAGCAATCAGATGTTTAATAGATGTTTATTAAGTTTCTATTCTGCTCAAGGTACTGAGCACAGCTACTGATGGAAAAAGAGATCACGTGTATGAATTTGGTCTTAATGGACAATATACCCAAAGTTGGAAAATACTTACAAACAGAAATGCTCTCCAAGATACTAATGAAATTCTGATAAATAATTCCAGTTATGGCATTCAGAACGTTTATTTTAGTTAAAAGGTTTGTTTTCCTTTTTTTCATGGTGAGTCAAATTTGCCTACCTCAAATTTCTGCTCTTTACAAAACACAAAGGCTAAAAAATTCTAGTCCCATTTTTGTGCAATACTCCACTAAAAACAATTAACAATGATTACCTTGCCAATTTTATATTGTATGTGTGACATTTAGAAAATTCAAAAAGAACTGAGTTCATCAATGAGCTTCTTAAAATGTGGCATAACTAGATTTGTTATTCAGTTAGAAAAGTAAAGGGAACAACATTTGTCTTGTATGACATGCTCCTATTAATGTCTTTTGGGATCAGATGAGAAGCAGATTTAAAGAAATAATATCACCACTGATTTATTTCAAGTTCTCTGACTTCCCAGTGTTTATTAGTCTTGGCAACCCACTAGAATCATCCT